GGGTCTTCCCGGTGTGGATGCTGCAGCAGCGTACCTAGCCAAGATGCGATTGACTGGTTTGAATTCCATCCATGGCTGATATAACGAAGGGGAGGGGTGGCGCATGCAACGTTTGAGGGGTGCAGAGAGGTAGTTTTTGCTGTGCAGCTCTCAGTCATCCATCGTTTACTACGCAGTACCATTCTTGCAGAGAAGACATCGTCACATCACTTTGAGCAGTACCTAAGGTAGGCAGACATACCACACCACCCCGGGCCACTCACAGAGAACAGAGGACAGAAGACAGAGCTCGTGAAGCAGCACGGCGTATCAGGCGCACCAGAAATAAGTAGCAGCCCACCTCAGGCGTCGGGTCAGAGGCCCCCGGTGCAGGTCGAGGTTGGTTGGTTCGCAGCGTGTAGCAGCAGTGGAGGTGCTACGGCGATAGCCTGCTTCATCCTCGCCTGTCAGTCCTTCAGACTGATGAGAAGACCATCAATCAGCACCAGGGGTGCGCTGCTGTATGGGCGAGCGGGGGCGCCGCTTAACCTCCGTAGGCTGTTTTACATTGATGTTACTTGCCAGAGCACCAAACCCTTCACTTCCCAGTCTTCGGATCGCCGGGCCCCTGTCTCTCTGTCTCTCTCTGTCTCTCTCTGTCTTGTCTCTGTCGCTGTCTCTAGTCTATGTCTCCGACTCCCACACAGCCCACACTTCCCCTTTGGGAAGCCCAACGACGGGATGACAGCAGTTGCCCTCGCACTAAACAGGTAGGTGCTCCAGGCAAGTGCTCCAGCAAGCTTTACTTTCCACCATGCTTTCCATGCTTTCCATGCTGCTGGCTGACCCGTCGTCGAAACTTGAAGCTGCACCGCCATGATAGTGTGAGGTACTTACCATAGTACACACCTAGCTGAGAAGAAACCTCCTAATATCACACCAAGATGGATGATATGTCCCTCCGGCCTCTTCTCCCCAATGCATCATGTATATGCTTCCATCTATGCTTCCTTCCCCTTGGCCTTGGGCAAGCAAGCAAGGCATCTCTGCTTGCCTCATGCCCAATACAGACAGACTCAGGTTACCTGGTAATACATTACCGACTTGCAGCGTTGGTGCCCAGAGGCAGAGGCGGTGGTGCCTTGGGCCGCTCACGGGTTGCAGCAAGAAAAGCACACTACTGTTTCTGATTGGGTTCGACGACCCCCATGCCGCCAGCCAAAGATGCGACACACGAGCCACCGCTCGCCCACTTGCCCAGTCCCGTCACCCTCCTTTTTCCCACCAGATTGTCTGGATTGACACAGATTGGCACCATGGATTGGCCATCCACAACACCGGACGACAATTCTCCTTGCTACAGACAAGACAACCTGGCTCTGCCTCTGCCTCTGCCTCTGCTCTGTCTATGCTCTGGAGAGAGAGAGAGAGAGAAAAGAGGTGGTGAGGCACAACCAACACCTGCCACCCATGTCCGTCCCTTCGTCCCGTGATTACCGCACTCTATCAAAGACAAGACTCAGGAACAAGCACTTCTTGCAACGCTCCTTCATCGTCATATCTAGATGCCGACAACCAACTTGGAGCAAGGGATTGCCGAGCACGCCACACACTCTTGATCCGATTAAGGTACGGATAACGGCGAGCGAAAAGACCAGACGGAAACACCAACGGCGGGGCTCATAAACTCTCGACTTGGTCTACGACAAACCCAACCCCTCAACCCCTCATCGTATCTATCATGTATCTGCCTGGTATGCGTCAAAGTACACTGCAGATACTCGCTGCCCATTTCGACTGCATGGTTCGGTAGAGTTGCCGCGGATTACGAATACAGAGGCACCCAAATGCCATCTTGCGGGTTGCCGGATTCTCATGGTGCGGCTGCAACCCTGTGGCATCGCGAGACGTGGCTTGGCCCGTCGTCGTCGTCGCCCTCGCCCTCGTCGTCCGAGTTGCGGGTTGACTGACACCAGCTGAGAGCCAGGCAGTCCGCCCATCCTTCGCTGCGCAATAGCCCGTATTGCATGCTCACAACAGTCGTATAAACAACAACCAGATACGCACTCGGTCCATCGCGATCCCATCTCTGCGACCCTCACTGACGTTCCTTACGTACTGCACGCGCACTTGCACTACGTAGCTCCCCTCAGCTCGACTAAACTTCTCACCAAGCCCTGGACGCTTGCTGGGATGCGGTGCCCCTCGTTCACCTTGCTGCTCACCTTGTCTGAGAGCGCCCCCCGGCACTAAGACGACTGAACAACCCGCACCTTGGAGCTGCCAGACCGGGCATGCCCTGCCGGTGGGGCAGACAGAACCGGGACTCGGTTGTTTCAACCTTTGCAGCATGGAAACGTCCATCGCTTTCACCGCCGTCCCATGCGGTACAGCGCAGAGGAGAGTTGAGATGGTTCCCGTTCTCGCTACGCCCAACAAACTGTGGGTTCATAGCCAAGGTACCACGTCAGGCGCTGGACGAAGCGAGCTCCACGAGGATATTGTCGTCATGCCGCTGTCGCCGAGGATAAAGCACCAAAGAAGGACTGGACGATATCGAGAAGCTCTCAACCTGCCACCGGACCCTGAGCACAGCCATACTAGAGCCGCCATAATGTACATTCAATTGAATCCAATACGGCCTGGCCGGATGGCCTGTGCCTGTGGCAGTGGCGGTGGATCACCGCCCAGCCCAGCGCGTCTAACACCCGACGTTAACAAGTGGTGGTATTGGCACGCCTGCGCCTGCGCTGCGTGCGTCTGTCTGTCTGCGCTTGGTTCATGTGCCTGTGCCTGAGCAGTTCCATTCTCCTCCTAATAGTCCGCCTGCTATTAATTCCCTCCTTTCGCCTTCGCCGCGCGCCGCCATCATCGACGGAGACCGCCTGCGGGCCACATCAGGCCAGCTCGACGCTACCACGCTCCCAAGCTCCCAAGCTCGTGCAGCCCAGCGCAGTCCGGGCGCCAGTCCCCTTTTCTTTCTATCCCATCCGGCAGATTGAAGCAACCCAATGCAGCATCCAAAGGAATAAAAAAGTCAAAATGATTGGGGGCGACGGCGCCCGCGAGATGGAGGGCGATGGGAATGCTCCGTCTTGATTGGTGGCTCTACAACAAAGGGCCTAGCCCACATACGGGCAACGGCTGGATCGCATTCACCTGGGCTGCATCGCTCATACATGGTATGGTTCCTTAGGTAGGTACCTTAGGCAAGGTGTAGGTACTCGGAGGCCCCTGTGCGAATTTCCACGCCGGGCCAACACCATGGAAAACAATCGCATCTTGGCTCACCGTCGGAACCACGAACCGAATACTCAAAGAAGAGACAAAAGAACCACGGTGGGAGGGGCTCTCGATCCCCGATTAACGACGGATAAATGGCTTTCTGTTTCTCTGAATCCTTACGCCCCATGGGCTGAGGCGAGAAGCGAGTGAATCGATCCATTGCCAACCCGATAGCAGAGCCTTCAATTTCCCTCGACAGGTTCGGAATATTTTCACCAAACTTCAAACATTACTCTCACCGGCGAAGTATAGTGTCTCCCCACCTTTTCCTCCTCCAGCATGCCCCCTCCACGTCCGCCCTCGACGACCCCCTGATCACATCTGACGGACCCAACAACTCCACATGGATGAATCTGCACAAGATAGATTACCCAATCGGCCGTCGACTTCCACCAGCGACTTGGTTCGTCTCTCTCTGTGCCGTGTCGCGGCTCAACAATGGGACTGAGGAGGAGCACTCTGTACGGATAGGAGCTCCAAGACATCGGTCAGCCCGCCAACGCCGCTGTGTGTTCCCACACCTGCCGAGTTGTCCTTCCTCGACGCTGATTGCTTCTCTTTGCCGCGCTACGAAGATGCTTTTCCTTCTCGACGGTCCCAGGTCCAACAATACGAAGCCAAACCATCCTGTGTCGCCATCATATTCAATATCCCGTGCTCAGCACTGTCTTACCTCTCTCTCTCTCTCTCTCGCGTGGATTACCGTCGCTGGCGATCGGTAGCCACTCATAGGGCGAGTGGCCACTGCTGAAACCCGCCCCTCCTTCGATTGAATTGGCCTGACCTGACCTGACCTGAGCCGCCTGAAGGCTGAGCCTGACGAGATTAGTGCTGGGCCGGCTCACCTGTCGCTGGCATCCTCCGCACTTTACCACACTTGCTACGTTCAATTGCTCGCGGCTCTTCTGGGGCCCGCAGGCAAGAACCAGACAGGCTCAGGAACAGGAATGGGCACAGGCACAGGCACAGGCACAGAGGGGACAGGGGGAGGGGGCACCTTCATCCATGACAGAGAGACGTCCCTGAAGATCCCGGCCTTATCCCACGACCGTTAAGCCGCAACCCCATGTCCCACCAGCCATGTCCCTCACACGTCCATAAGAGGCTGAGTTGACTGAGGTGTGGCACTTTGTTCCGCACGAGCCAGCGGCGGCAGCAAAGCAGCATGAACTTGATGAGCGAACCCAGGTCTCCAAGAGCAGATACGAGTCGGAGAGTTGCGACCTTCTCCACGCCTGTGTCGTCGTCACTCGTGCCGGAGCCACCTCCTGCGCCCATCGTCGACTGTCAAATTTCCCTTCATCCAATGCGTCCATGCTGGCTGTTGCCCATAGACACACACACACACACACACACACACACACATATGCACACACGACAGCTGTGCACCTGCTCTGACAGAGGCTGGCATTTCATTAATCCATTGGCCTTCAGATGTCTTTCACCCGCAATGCTGGCTGCACCCGCACCCCTCTCGACGTCGACACACACCACTCCACCCCCCAAAATCCCCACCACGGTTCCAGGTTCGTCGTCGACGTTACATCCCCTAAAAATTCTCTTCATCCTTTTCGGGACAACAGCCTTTTGCCCACTTGCAGCAGGTTTTCTGGGTACAGCACGCTACGGAGCATCTGCCCTGCCCAACCATGCTCTCTCCGCCTTACAACTTTCCACCATGCTGCTACCTGCGTGAATAGGTACAGAGCTTCCCCCCCCCAGACCCTGTGCTGATGATGACTGTTCACGAGTTGCAGCCGCTGCACCTGCACAGACAGTTCGGTCCAAGGTTCTTAGTAGTTCGTCGGACACCCCTCTCTGCCTCTCTTCTGCTGCTGCTTCTCTTCCTCGGTTCGCTTTTGCCGCACCCCGTCTACTAGTGGGCATAGCTCTCTCCATCCCATCTCTCCCGAGAGCCCACAGACGACGCCCGTTGGCTCCTTCGTGAATCACCTGCAAACCATCCGTCTGTCTGCCCATGCGACTGGATAACTGTGGCCCTCCACTGACTGAAAGTCCCCCCTCCCCTCCCCCAGGCCAGGGTTGCAGGTACGTACTCTTTCCCTCTCACACACACCACCCTCTGCTGGCCCGAACCCACTGGCTGGGCTTCGGTTTGAGGACGAAGGAAACGAGCCAATCATCTACGTCAAAACGTTTCGACTTGAAACAAGAGCGGCGCTCGGCGGCCAATCAGACCCTGTTTTCGACGTGACAGCGCAAGACGATCACGACAAGAGGTGTGAACATTTGTCCAAGTTGCGCTGCGTGGTTGGAAGCCACTGGATCCAGCTGTACAGAGAAAATGCGAACGTTGGCCGTCTGACGAGGAGGGGGAGGGAGAGCAGGCCGGGACAGGCGGGCGGGCGTTCTGTCTTCTCGGCTCGCCTGGGGTTAACTACCTACTGCGGAGCTCTTGTGTTGCTCTCCGGATCGTGAAAAAACAGCCATGTTGTTGCTATACCACACCGTTGTTTGTTTTGTTTCCTCTTTTGAAGGGGTTGGTTCACAGAAGGGGGGGTAGGGGAGGGGGTGGTGGTTTCGGTCTGTGATCCAAGTATGATGTGCGGTATGATGCGTGTTATCCCATCTTCGCTTCCCGCGCCGCCTTTAAGGGCCTGGCTGTCTGGGCACGTCAACAAAAATAACGAAACCCACGAGGTTGAGAGCATGGTCCGTGGACGACGGGCCATGGCCCTGACAAGCACTTGGAGCCTGGAGCATTGTCTCACCGAACCAGTGGCCCGTAACCTGGCTGTCGGGAGACGGGCCCGGAGGAGGAGGGGTTGGAAGGGGGCCTTGCTACGGCTCTTTTTCTTCACGGCTGTCAGAATATCCGGCCGAGGACGACACGGTCTGTTACCGTCTGTTTTGTTTCTGATATCCTCGCTTGGCCACAGGATGACGGATTTGAGAGTGGGTGGCGCATCGCGGGAATGGTCAGATGGCTTGTGAGATTCGACGACGACCCCGGTCTTACAAATCAGGTTTCTCGTCTGTTCTTTGACGTTTCTGCCTCGGAAGACGCAGAAAAAAAAGGATTCTTCGAGCTTGGACCCGTCGAGGACGTTGGACGGTGACTCAACTCTCCCAGCATTGTCTCCAGCATGTCAAGGCGATGTAGCAACTGAAGTCACACGCGCAAGAGTGTACTCGGCTCCGAACCTGCAGACGCGATAGGTTACCGACAGATGCAAGGTGATGGATGGGAGAGATATGCTTGGCCCGTCACTTTGTTAGTACTTCTTTTTGGGCGCCACCTTCTCGGGAACAAGCAAAGAGCGCTATTGTTCTCGAAGATGACATATACCCTTCCAAGTCGCATTCTGGGCTTTGCTGCGAGTGCTTGCGGGTTCCGTCCAGTCAGATTCGTCCGCGCCTGTTGGTATGCGGTGGTGCTGGTTGCGTTCCATTTCTTCATTGCTACGTTGGTTGTTTGCTTCTTTGCCTGCTGCCGTCCCGCCGCCGCCCTTGCTGGCTGACATGTGGTTGTGCGCTTGTCGTCGTCGACTGCATGTTGCCGCGCGCCACCGTCTTTATTGATTTCCTCGGTGGGTGGGAGGTGTAGCAATGTGCATGGGCATGGGTATGGGCAAACCAACGGCGATTTTGGGCCAAGCAGTCAGCAATATGTATGCTCGGCATTGGGCGACGATATTTGCCGCGCCGTTGGTGCATCTTTTGCGAGTGCGACAGAGACAGCCTCCGATGGTGTGTTGCATGTGCCGAGAAACATCTCCGCAACGTCTTCTTTATTGAATGCCTCAGTTGTGGCGCTTGGGCGACGGTGATGCTGGGCAGAGAGTTTCCCGATGTCACGCCGCCATTGCCCGAGTTTGCGGTAGAAAGTGCTTATGTAAGATTGCTGGGGCTTCAGCTGGCGCCAGGTGGTCGCGATCAGTGACGGCCCATGAGCTTATCAAATCGGCGCCGGGGCCGTTATCAGAAAATTTCGAGACTCGATGCAAGTCACGATCGAGTAACGATATATTGCGACGACCACGAATTGAAAAGCTCCACGTCCACAATTTTGACATCACGGATACTTGTGTCTCAGATTCTAAAGGACTTTCGACCTTGACGTGAAATTCCGCAAAAAATGCCCAGCAGGACAGAATCCGAGGACGTCGCCATGGACGAGGCGCCCCCCTCTCACCAGCCCGAGGAGAACGAGGCCTCTGAGGAGTCGCCTGAGCAGGAAGAGGAAGAGGAGGAGGAGCCCCAGCGCGTCAAGATTGTACGGTTTATTCTGTTGGCGCATCGCTGAGTTAGAATGAGAGTTGTTTATGCTAACGGGTTCACATAGCTCCCTGGTTCAACAGACACCGCTGCCTCATTCGAGTTCATCGATGAGGGTCACACGCTGGGCAACGCGCTGAGATACATCATCATGAAGAAGTGAGGCCACCCTCGGGAGTTCTTATTGCCGCTCATCACTAATATACGAAAAGCCCCGACGTCGAGTTCTGTGCCTACGCCATCCCTCACCCCTCCGAGGCCAAGATGAACCTCAGAATTCAGACCTACGGTATGTTCTCTCGTCCCTTCAACACTAATGAACCCAACTGACGTGTGCTGCAGACGGAACCGCCGTCGCTGCCCTCCAAAAGGGCCTCAAGGACCTGCAGGCCCTGAGCGACACTGTCGCGGAGGAGTTCATCCGCTCCAAGGAAGAGTTTGGACGTTCTTAGCTTTGAGAGACGGGACGAGATGTTTGCATGTCAAAACAGGCGTTTTAAGGGGGGTTTTCCGTAAAAATCCAAGGTCATAGACAAAACGTTAATGAGCAATTGAAATGTTTTTTTTTTTTCTTTCCCCGAGGGTCGGACTTTTGGATTGGTTTCTTATGTACACAAGCTCTGAGCCTCTCTTTCATACCGCTCAGTTACGACCCTGGAGGGGAGTGCATGTGGTCAGTACGGATTTGCGCAGCAGCTGTGTATATATATCTGATCCCGAGTGGGATGTCGCTTGGGGGACTCACCTCCAAGAACCCAGTCATGAAGTTGTTGGGCAACCGCTTGTCTCCTCTAAAGTTCTCCTCCTTGAAGTAGGACATGATGTGGGTGGTCTGCTTCCAGAAGTTCATCGTCTCCTGTTTGTCGTGTTGTCAGCCGTTGTTCCTCCCATCTCCCTCTATGGCCCGGCTCGCCTCGACAGAACGACGGAGGGGGCGCATACCTGGTATTCGGCGTGGCTCTTGAAGATCAGGACGTCGACAACGGGGAGCTTCTTGGCGAACCTGTGGCGCTCAAACTCCTCGCGTATCCGGGTGCGAAGGACGGAGACGGGAAGGGGGACGTTGTACATCGTCTGGATCTCGGGCGCCTGTTTCCAATTCCTCGCGGTTAGCCTCCTGTCACCCTCTCCCATGACCCCTCCATCCACCACTCAATCGGGCAACCGCAAGCCGGCCGTCTCGGATCGTCAGGTAAAGGAGCGAAAAACATACAGCGCGGATCCATTCTCTGTACGAAGCGAGGACCCGTCTCTTTGCGTCGTTCCAGTTGGCCGCTGTATGTCCCTCCTTGTCAGCAGCATTCTTCCGATGCGTCAATCGGGCTCAGGACGTACACTGCCGGGTCGTCTTGGCGAATTGGGTCGGTGTGATGGCCATGGTGGGCGCGCGCGGGGTGCTGGGTGAGGGATTCGGGTTCGTGATGGAGGCTTGCCCGCGGTCCGGCTATCTTGCACTGGCGGTTGGTCTTGCGGGAAGCACGCACAGCTCCAACGTTGGGAGCCGCCCAATCACGTGTGGGACTTAGTCAGCCCGGAGCTGTTGTCTGGCACGGCGGCGACGGCAGTGGGCTGATAAGATAAGCTCGTTCCTACTTTGGCCCCACTATCGAATTAAACCTCCCGACTTCACTGTTCGTCATACTCCCGCGTCGCAGCACGTTGATCCTATCCCCGAAGTTCACAGACAACCGTAGAATACCGCGACGCGATCGACTTCGACGACGAACACATTCTCTAAACGACACATCCGCCGGACAAGATGCCTCCCATGCGTCACTCGTCGAAGCGCAAGCCGCCCCCAGAAGGCTTCAGCGACATTGAAGACCAGCTCCTCATCTTCCAAAACAAGATGAAGGACGCGCAGAACAAGCCGCCGCCGACGGGCCCGAAGCACCAGGCGCAGTGGGAGATCTTCCAGATCGCACACACGCGAAGCCGCTACGTGTACGACATGTACTACGAAAAGGAGGCCATCAGCAAGCAGCTGTACGAGTGGCTGCTCAAGAACGGGTACGCAGACGCGATGCTCATTGCCAAGTGGAAGAAGCAGGGCTACGAGAAGGTGAGTCGCAGTTCGGAGGTCCGTCGGAGTCCTGCTAACGTGTTGTCCTTAGCTTTGCTGCCTGCGCTGCGTCCAGACCAAGGAGACCAACTTCAACTCGACGTGCGTATGCAGAGTTCCCAAGGCCCAACTCAAGGGGGACCAAGAGGTGCAGTGCGTCAACTGCGGATGCCACGGCTGCGCTTCGAGTGATTAGAGAAGGGTTCGACACGTCTCACACTTGAAGAGGCCCCGTTCAGCATGGCGACACACATACACATCATCGCGGGAGACAGGCGTTCGGCGTCATAGGAGGGTTGATCCTGACCACGAGTACGAGACTCGGGGTCTCCTTATTTTGCTGCAAAGAGGTAGTGATCCTTTCAATTGACCGTTTTGGTATCATGATGGCCTGAACGCTAATCAAAGTAGTGCTATGCTTTGTGACGTCGTGTTCATCGTTTTGCAAAACCTGCCCGCCCGCCGCCTCGCCCAAACCGTACGCTGTTCGGTACGAATTGCAGCGCCGACATGGCTCCTGCGAGGTCCTCCATCTCAGTGTCTGGACGTTCCGTCGGGTCTGGCGGTGGTGCTGCTGGCTGTGATGCTGCGGACGGGGTCTTGCCCTCATCTTCTGCCGGCGGCTTACGCCCTTCCTCCTTTTGCTTGCCGCCGCCCTGCGTCTCTAGGATGCTTGACTTCCGCTTCGACTCTTTCGTGTTGACGGCGCTGGATGACTTGCGTCGGTGATGGCCGCCTTCAACGAGTAGTGACCGCCGTCCGTCGATGCCCTCCTTGGTCACCGCAAAGAAGAAATTCTTGGGGTACATGTGCTTGTCTATGAGATGCATTCGTCGCTTCTGCGGCGTCATGCACTTTCTCTCGCAGCCCTCGACGAAGCATGAATACTGGGATTTGTCAGCGGTCTCCTTGCAGCCCAGGGGGCAATACTTGACTCACCGTGTGCTCTCCTCTCTCGCGTCGCACTGCAGCAAAAGAGTCATGACACTCCTCATGGTGAACGTTGAGTAGATGCTCTGACGGCAGATTTCTACCGCATTCTAGGCACCGGTTCGTGTGCGTCTTGACATAATGCGCCTCATAGTCGTCATAAGACTTGAAGGATATAGCCTCGCGGTGAGGTGGCAGGACACACTTC